GGGTGAGGTAGGAGCTGGGCGACAGTGACAATTCCTGGTTCTGGGGAGCAGGAAGACAGGAAATGAAGACTTAATTGGTACTTGGTGCCCTGGCCCACACCTGTATTCCCAGCAACTTGGGAGGCTGAGGCAGAAGGATCACCAGTTCAAGGTCAGCCTCAGGAACTTAGACTTTTTTCAAAATTAAAAATTAAAAGAGCTGGGGATAGAGCTCAGTGGTAGCTGTGGCTTCAGACAGACCTGGACTGAGGTTCAAATGAGATTGGCTCCACCCTTTATGACCTTGGGCAAGTCACCTAATATCTAAGCTTCAGTTTCTTCATTAGTCAATGGTGAATAATTATAAAACCTACAGTCTGCATCGCTGAGAAGAAAGTGAGAGAATGGATGCCACGGAGCTCTATCCAAACAGCTCCAGGATTCATCCTGGGATAGGAATTTGGGAATAAAGGGAGATATGAGTCTCAAAGGAAATACCCATAAATCATTGAAATCCAAAAAGTACCATGAACCGTTGTGATTCCTGAGCAATACACCCTTGACCCATTCCCTAGGCTAACAAGAGGGCAGTGCACAAAGCCAGGGAAAACTGGCTGAAATCCTGTAGCTCCACCCTGGCTCCACCTTTAGTCCAGCCCTAGCAACCACCCCTCTATAAATATTAATACTCCATGCCGATGGGCTCCTGTCTCTCCCTCTGGAGGTAGCCAGAATAATACTCAAGAATACTTGAGATTGCCCCCATTCTCCCTTGAACATGTCTCTGCTTCCCTAAATAAACTTCTGTCGATGCCTTTGGCACAAGCTGAAATTCTTTTCCATTGGGTAAGTCAAGAGCCCGCTGGTCCTAAGTACCCCCTTCACTCCAGTAAGTCCTCAGACCCTGTGTGGGAGACAGTCCCATCACCTAACTTCGTGGTCCCCCACCCATATTCTGCCCATTGCACTTGGGCTGCCTGCTAGTCCCTCTACTAGCCCCCCTCCCATCCATCCCAGTTTGATACAAATAACTCAGGATGTGGTGGTGCTCGCCTGTAATCCCAGCAGCTAGGGAGGCTGAAGCAGGAGGATCCCAAAATCAAAATCAGCCTCAGCAATTTAGTGAAGCCCTAAGCAATTCAGCGAGACCCTCCTGTCTCTAAATAAAACATAAAAAGGACTGAGGATGTGGCTTGGCGGTTAAGCACCCCTGGGTTTAATCCCTGTACCAAAAAAACAAAAAACAAAAAACCACTTCATCTACTAGTTTATTTAAATCACAAAACACTAGGTCTGAAAAAAACTTCAGAAATGATCCATTTCAGTCTTCTCACTTGAAATGAGGAACCTAAGCCCTAGAAGAAACGAGCCCAGCTGAAAGCTAAACCAGTGCTTTACTATGTTCACAAGATCCTTCTACCCCTTCCTAAACCTAGGCTCCCCGAGCCCTGGTTTAGAACCTTCAGGACATCTACCACCTCATCTCAGAACCCAAATCTGTCCCAATCTTTCCCCAGGATAGTGGCCCTGTCTGCTGCCCCCGGGCTCTGTCTACCATCACCCCCTGGGGTGTGGCTCATACCTATCCATAGTTCACCATCCGCAGGGCCCTGGAACCTAGAACTTGCCTTTATCCACCCCAAACTTGGAGGAAGGAAGCAGCTCCCAGCCCCTCCCCACCYACCCCATAGGCCCTCCTTCCTCTCCTTACCCCTCCACACCTCCTGCCTCAGGGTTCAAAAGCAGCCAAGCCTGCAGAAAGCTCTGAGCTCATTTCCACAGCTGCTGCCTAGAGCGCCCAGCAAGAGCCTCCCAGGATGAACAGCTTCCTCTTCCTTCTATTCACCTTAAGCCTCTTGGTTCTGACTCAGGTAGGAGAAGTCCCTCCAAGCCCCCGGGCCACCCTCAAGATTCCCTGACCTGCTTGCCAGGAGAGGGAGGAACTCTGGGCTTCTGGGGACCAGCCCAGCCTTCTCTGTGGAGACAGACAGACAGGCTCCAACTGGGATCCAGGGACCAGGGGAGCCTGCCTGTCCAAGCTTCCAGCCCTGTGCCTGTGGTCACTCAGCTCAAGGGCAGCCTCTGAGTTGAAATCTGTATTCACAACTGGGGAGCCTCACCAAGCGCCAGGCACAGGGACACCCAGGGGTGCTGTGCAATGCTGGGGAATTAAGTAGAGCCTGCCCTGCTCCTGCCGTCAGGGGGGTCCTGCCTGGCGGGAGAGAGGCCTGGGGGTGAGGATTGCAAAGATGGCAACAGCCTGCCATTCAGTCTCCAATCAGCTGCCATTTCAGAAGGCAGCTTTGGTGGCATCCCACGTGCCCAGAGGGGCCCAGTCAATATAGGAGACAGAGCCATCAAGTTCTTGATCAAGAACAGCTTTGTCAACCATCAAGGACAGCTTGATCACCATCGAAAACAGCTTAAGGTCCATTAAGAGCGGCTCCAGTTGCAGTTTTGTCAACCATCAAGGACAGCCTGTCACCAGCTGGCCTTTCCACCACTCCCCCCACCCACCCGTACTTTGCCAAGGGCCTTCTCACTTGGCCCTGTCTCATGTCACCCTTCCAACTGCGATGGACCCTTTTCCCCATTTAGGAGACAAGGACATGGGCTCAGGGAGGAGAAGCATCTGGTAGGATGAGTGGGATCCAGGGCTGGGGCTCCCCTGTGATGGAGGCACCGGTGGCCTGGGAGAGGTGAAGGGAGGTTTGGGGGTGGGGGCAGGAAACAGCCAAGCATCCCAACAGGACCTGTGGCACAGGGACAGGGGAGAATGCATCCTTAACAAAGGTGACATTCAAAAGCCCCCTGAGGGGGCTGGGGTTGTGGCTCAGTGGCAGAGCACTTGCCTTGCATGTGTGAGGCACTGGGTTCGATCCTCGGGACCACATAAATAAGTAACTAAATAAACAAATAAATAAAGGTATTGTGTTAAGTACAAGTAAAAAAAAAATAATAATAATTAAAAAAAAAAGTTCCCGAGCCTGGCGTGTGGCACATTCCCCCAACTTGAGAGGCTGAGGCAGGAGGATCAAAAGTTCAAGCCTTAACAATTTAATGAGACCCTCAGCAACTTAGCAAGATCCTGTCTAGAATAAAAAGAGATAAAAAGGACTGGGGATGTGGCTGAGTGGCAGAGTGCCCCCGGGGTTGAATCCCCAACGAACAAAAAACTGAAAACCCCCAGCACCCCCGCTTCTCTTCTTGCAGATACAAACTGGAGTCCTGGGGAACACGACCGCCAGCTCTGGCGGGACCTCTGGCGCTAGCATTGGCGGGAACAGTGGCAGTGGCGGGAACAGTGGCAGTGGCGGGAACAGTGGCAGTGGCGGGAACAGTGGCACTGGCAAGCCCGCTGCTACCACCCTCAAAAGTACCACAACTGCGAAAACCGACACAGATGGGGCCCCAGCTCTCGGCAGCATGGATGGTGGCAGCATCCTTTTCTTCTTGACCCACATCCTCATCCACCTCTTCTACCTCAGCTGAGGTGACAGTGTCATCTCTAGCTCTATGTCCCCTGAAACACTGCCACCATCACTAGCCAGAGAACACCCGCCTCCCGCCAACCTCAGGATGGGTGGACGACAGAGATCCCAGGGGGTAGAAGTTGACAGGCGGCGGCCAAGCCGGGGAAGTCCTGACGTGGAGGGCAGGCTGGGGCTCAATAAAGTTCTCCTGGTCTGTGGGACGCCCTGCGCCTGGTCACTGGACATCGCCGGGCCCGGCGCTGTGTGTGCACACTCAGGAGCTTCCCACGCCCTTATCAGCAGGGCAGGCGAGGCTGGTGCCCACACAGAGTCCCCTGCGGACAGCCCTCTCCCTAGAATCACTGACAGCGACAAGACCCAGAAACCTCCACCCTCATTGTCCCCTTTGGTGGAATTTACTTACCCTGTCCCTGAGTGTTTGGGAGTGACCATCCCAGAGATTCTGCCACCCCACTCCCCAGACCCTGGATAACCCCGGCCTCCAGGGCACTTGGGTGTCCTCAGAATGACAGATGGAGGGGGATCCCCAGCTCCAGGAACCCCACCCACCCGTATTTTGGGGTCCCCAGAAAACCAGCCCACAAACCAGCTGTCCTTACATCTCTGACCACTGGGGGCTGGAGGAGGGTTAGGAGGTGGCTTCTACCTTCCTGTCCCCCCACCCCCAGGGCCGCCAGGGCTGGAAGAACAGAGCCCCAGCACAGCCCCCACTGTCACTCCTCTTCCTGAGGACTTCTACCAGAGGCAGGAGAGTGGCCACAGACCTAGAGGCAGAGGGACYGCTCCCGTCCTATGTCCTGCCCTCTCAGCTGTCCCTGTCCTGGCTTCTCTGAGACCAAACCTCCAGACTGGGGAAAGCTGGAGGAAAAGAGAGAGGGGCTCCCCTCCCCCCTCCTGCCCCACCCACTGTGCCACCACATGCTGAACCGCCATGTCTTCACCCTGGACACGTGTGCACCCTGCAACAGGTTCCTCTCCCACCTTCCCGTCTGGCCAGCAGCTCCCCCCATCCTGTGCTCATCAGCTGCAGCGGGGGCCCTCCTCTAGGCGGGAGGGTCCTGCTCTGGGCACTCTCTGCCTGTGTCCTTCTCATCGTTGACTGTGTCCCCTGAGGGTGGGGACCTCAAGGCTTCGAGTCTGTGTCCCCATGGCCCAGTGCCGGACCTGAATACTCAGGCATACTGGGGTGGGGTCCTCTGAGTATGGGACCATCTTGGGATGGGGGTGGAATCTCTGGAACCGTCACCCCCCAACACTCAGGAACAGGCTCAGGACCCATCATTTGGGTGACTGCAGGAAGGACCACACCTACCAATTAATTTGGTCCCAGGCTCCCTCTGGTGGCAGAGCCAGGCCTTACACCTTAGCCCTACCACCCCCACCCCCCACGCCCACCAAAACAAGAACCAAGAAAACAAACCAGGCTGCATGGTGGAGAGATGCCAGCCCGAGTGTAGGGAAAAATGCCAGTGGACAGTCGTCACCCTGATCCCTGACCCCAAATATCAAGGTGCACAAAGACCAAGATACTTAGCAGCATATTAGAAAATCGCTTATGTTACAACGACAACAAAACTAAAAACATTCCATCCCAGCAAAGCCTCCGGGGCTGGGGGAAGGAGGTTCAGAGGACATGGACGGTCCAGATCTGGGATGCCCTGTCCTTGGCCAGTTCCCACAGCACCACGTGGTCCCGGTCATAACCTCGGCCACCTGGGAGGGAATGGGAGAGTCAGAGGTGGTCAGGGAAAGCCAGGACGATGCTGCCCACAGCTCCCTGCCATATGGACAACCCAGTTACCCTTTACATCCAGGATCCGGCCTTCAAACATCTGGCTGCAGATGTGGCCCAATTCATTGATGCTCCACGTCTGTCGCGGCAGACGGCTCTCGGCCCAGAGCACCACCTTGGAGCCGAGGCTTGGAGGTCCAATTACCTGCAGGCTCATGGTGGGGGCCACCTGAGGCCCCGGGAGGTCATTAGCACTGTTTTCCCCATAGGGACTCTATCATACCCAAGGCACCCTCAATACATGGGATTTGAATCCTGGTTCTTGGCAAGTCTCTTGATCCTTCTGAGTTTCTGTTTTCTTAAAGGTAGAAATCCTGAATACTTGCTTTGTTTTAGTTGATGTATGTTTGTTTGTTTTTGAGGGCTTCCCACGAAAAACCATAAAAGGGCTGGGAAAATATTAGCTCCACTAGAATGTGGGTTTTAGCATCAGACGACCCTCCACACATTTATTGGCTGTGTGATTTCAGCAAATCACTTAACCTCTCTGTGCTCTGATATTCTCACCTATAAAAAGCAGAGTAGAACAGAACCTGCCCATAGTATTCTCTGAGGATTACAAGAAGCATTTACGCAAGGGGCTTAATATGTCACCTGGCACACAGTCAGTATTCCCTCTCATTCCAAGTAGAAGGGGAAAAAAAATACTCCAAAAAACCATGGCCTACAAAGACCTACCTACCTACCTCATCTCTTGCTCTCTCCCTCCCTCACTTCACTCAGCCGCTCAGGCAGCCTTCTCAATCCTAGAAAAACGCCAGGCAGGTGGGCGTCTTGCCCTTGCTGATCCCTCTGCCTGCAATGCTCTTCCCTCACACATCTGCTCAGCTGCCCGCTTCTTCTCAGGAAGGGCACCCCGTCAGAGCCTCAGGAAACTCCCTGTCCTCCTTCCTTGACCTACATTTTGATCACTTAAATCGATTCTGTCCCTCCCCGGAGGGATAAGAAGGATAAACTCCAGGAGGATGAGTGTCTCTGTCTTCCTACTGCCACATCCAGCACCTAGAACAGGGTAGGTGCCCGGGAAACTGTGGAGGGAGCCGACCGTCACTAACAGGACTCAAGTTCTCACACAGGACGGCAGAGCTGGGGGCTTCCCTCTACGCATCTGGGTCAGCCATGGTTTGGACACGGAGGCCCCGAGGACAGCAGGACTTGCCAGGGGTCCGCGCCTGCATCCTCCACCTCCCCAGGGTCCCGGGGTCCCGTTCCTGACTGGGCTACGATTCCCCAAGGTGGGCTTGCGGGTGCCCGGGGCCCGGGAGTCCCTTCCCAGCCCCACACCATACCTGGTTCTTGAGCAGCCCGTCCTCGTAGTACCAGATGCAGCTGCCGCCAGCTCGGGGCTCGGAGACAACCACGCGGCCGGCCTTCATGTCCTCCACGTGGTCGGGCACCGCCAGGAACCCCCCCAGGGCTGCATTCCAGAGGCGGAAATAAGCCCGGCGCTGGTGACAGGGGGAGGGCGAGAGTCAGGAGTCCCCCCGCGGGCATGGCCACCAGGCTCCCCTCCGGACCCTCTAGGACCAAGCTCGAGGTCCCTCCTTCATGCCCCCATGTTCCCTGACCCTGCTCCGATGTCACCTTTCTTTGCATACACACCGAGGGCACGTGGGCAAGTCACACTCACCCACCATTCTGTGTCCACAGATATGCACAGACGTGTGCAGAGGGACACAGGGACATACACTCGTGGCCCAGGAGGTGACATGGAAGTTCACAGAAGACTCAAACATGCAGACTCACACACACCCTAACCACACGCAGGGCCGCCCGGGCCACGCCACACCAGGTGCCCATGTTTGCTACCAGGACAGATGTGCGGCAGGCAGCGGTGCACACACACGCTTCCCAAAGAAACCCAGACACACATGTGTGCTCAGGGGGGTGGTGCCAAGGTGGATGACAGGCAGTCCACAAGTCAGCAGGGGACCCAGGAGGGTGGTGACAGTAATAGTAGCCATAAGGGCAACCATGAAGTTCAGCCCGGGTCCCGGGAACCATGCCCATTACAGATCTTCAGTCCTCAAACACACCCATGATGCCACGCCATCCCCATTTTAAAGATGAGGAAACAGAGGTCCATGGAGGTACAGTACTCGCCCAAGATTGCAGAGCAAATCCTTGTCCACGGCCCTGGGGCCTCATTTCCCATCTGAAAAATTTCAGCGTTGGAGATCATCTCTGGGAACTCCTCCAGCAAGGATGTCACTGGAGTGTGTGAATACTGGGGCGGCGTAGGCACGCTCGGACAGACACCCCCCCCCAGTGGGCACAGCTGCCCTGAACCAAGTGTCACAGGCAGAGGTCACCTCCAGAGCACACAGGTCCTCGGCCATGAATGATGTCACAGGCCCAGAAACAGACACATACACAGAGCTCGTGGCTGTGCTGCACGGAGGCCAAAATGAGACCCGCRCCAGACAAGGGCCCAGATGCCAGGTGCAGGCACCCAGTTCCCAAAGTGAGGGGCTTACTACTGAGGGTGGGACAGGAGTCATTTTTCAGTCCTATGTGGAATAAAACACTTGGTGGGGCTAGAGATATAGCTCAGAGTGCTTGTCTCGCATGTGTAAGGCCCTGGGTTCAATCCCCAGCAACACGCAACACACACACACACACACACACACACACACATGGAAAAAGAAAAAAAAAACCACTTTGGGGATTGAACCCAGGGACCACTGAGCTACACCCCCAGCCCAGTTTTTAAATTTTTATTTTGAGACAGGCTCTTGCCCAGATTGATACTCCTGCCTCAGCCTCCTAAGCAGCCCAAATTACTGGCGTGCACCACCACGTCTGGCTTAGAGTTTAGAGAAACTTTTTTTTTTTTTTTTGGTACTCGGAATTGAACTCAGGGGCATTCAACTACTGAGCGACATCCCCAGCCCTATTGTGTATTTTATTTAGAGATAGGGTCTCACTGAGTTGCTTAGTTTCTGAGGCTGGCTTTGAACTCACACTCCTCCTGCCTCAGCCTCCCAAGCCACTGGGATTACAGGTGTGGGTCACCAGGCCTGGCTGGAAAAACTTATTTTTGAAAATTCAGTGAAAATGAACTTATCATGTCTATTAAGAAAAAAATCATATATATACATCAAAGTCATGATCTTATGGATATTATTCCTTAGGACAAGGAAAAAGTAAAATAAAAGAGAAAATCCTTGGGTAGATAATGGTACAAGAAGTGATAAAAGGGGCAGAAATTGTGACAAAGTACATCGGTGCTGAGCTTGGGAAATACAGACACACACCCACAGAGGCGCACCTGGGACAGTCCGTGGGGACCCACTCACCCTGACGTGCGACCCACCTGCTTGATGGGGTAGAGGGAACCCACCCTCTGGGTGCCGCTGTAGGTCAGCCAATTGGTGATCTCACTGCTGCTCACCAGCCACTGGCGGCCCCTGAAGTCACTGTGCTCACACAACACCCAGCTGAGTCCAGGAGGTGCCAGAGACACAGGAGCAGAGAGAGAGAGACAGGGGGAGAGGCGGGGCGTCAGGGCCATCTCCACCTCCTCTTCTCTCTGCTGGGACTCCTCTGCACGGGGCCAGGGTCCTCAGTGGAGAGGAGAAGGCTGGGAAGCAGATCTGGGGTGTGCAGGGCAAAGTAGGGTCCCAGGAAGTCCACGGGGCTGGGGGTCCAGGCCCTAGAACCAGCAATCCTCCTTCCTAGCTTGGTGGGGAGGACACCCTGCGTCCCCTGTCCTGACGCTTACTCGTCCCTGCTACCAGCCCCCACACCCCTGTGCTGCCCACGACCACTCACACGCCCCCCTTGATCCGCACGGACAGCACGTGGTTGTTGAAGCCCTCGGCCTGCAGGCTCCGCACCTCCTGGTCCAGCTCTATCTCCTTCCCCTCGAAGCACTCCAGGCCGTACAGGAAGATGGCGGGTTCTGAAAAGTGCTGGGGCGGGAGGAGGGGTGAGGCCACCGAGCCCAGACAGTGCCTGGACTCCCRGGTGCACACTGCAAGCTCCTATCCCTCCCAAGCTCCTTCACCGACTCCAGGATACTGCCAGGAGAGTGTCCCCAGGACTGTCACCAGGCAGTGAGGTGGGTCTCTGTGGCCAGGGCCAGGACTCCCCAGCAGGACTCCCTCTGCCTCTAGGGTTGCCTAGAAGTGGACAGGGGCACTCACCAGGGGCACCTTCTGGAGAGAGCCCAGGACGGTGGACGACAGGCAGCCCATGGCCGTGAGAGTGGGGAACTCGCCCTCTGAGAGAATGTGCTGGTCTCCCTGGAAGTTCTTGTCATCAAACAGGATCCAGCTAGGGAAGTGGAAGAGTGGGGCAGGAGGGATTATGAGGCTACCCTGCTGAGGCCTGCCAGACAACCCTGAGGTCTAAGGACCTGATGGAATTCCCCCAGCCCAGGGGGGGGGGGGGTCAAAGATGGACAGGCACCACAGCAGCAGGGACTGAGGTCAGACTTCAGAAAGGACTGGTTGAAATCATACTGCCCCTTTGGAAGAGAATTTGGTAATATCAAGCAACACTCCATGAGAAATTTAGCCAGCAATCCCACATCTAGGACTCTAGTCCAAGGACACCTTTAAATAATGCTTGCATGACACCACTCGTTACAGCACTGTCTGCAGTAGCAGAGTGGAAGAGGTCAACAACATCCATCCATAGGAACCTGTTGAGTCAACCGTAGGGTCAGTGGTTTTTTTTTGTATACTCACCAGATTGTACTAGGCTCCCTTTTGTGTAAGAAAATGGGGAAAGAAGAAAACAAAAACATATTTGTTTTCTATATTTATATACAAATTTACACATGAATGTATATTTGCATACATCTTCAAAAAGAAACAATAGATGAGCAAAGTGAATACTAAGAAATATTCTCTATAGGGGAAGGTAGGGGAGAGGTGGGAGGGACAGAGGTGGAAGCTTTGGAACTGTGATCCACGGGCTTTGTGTCTCCCCCACCCTCAATAGAATGGTATTTAGAGTGAGGTCTGTGGGAGGTAATTAGGTTTAGATGAGGTTGTGAGGGTGGGACTCCACAACTGGGTGGGGATCCTTATAAAACAGAAAGAGTCTGGAGCTCTGCTCTCTCTCTGTCTGTAATATGAGGACAGGAATGCATCCTCCTGCAAGCCATGAAGAGAGTCCTCACTGGGGAACTGAATTAGCCAGCACCTTGACCCTGGACTTGCCTCCAGAATTACGAGAAAATAAATTTTTTTTTTTTTTTGGGGGGGAGTGGTGGTGGTGGTGGTGGTGATGGTACTGGGGATTGAACCCAGGGGCTCTCTCTACCACTGAGCTCCATCCTCAGCGCAACCTTTTTTTTTTTTTTTTTTTAATTTTAAGACAATGTCTCACTAAGTTGCTCAGCCTGGCCTTGAACTTGTGATCCTCTACCCGCAGCCCACCGAGTTGCTGGGATTATGAGCATGTGTCACTGTACCCAGCTAAATTTCTGTTGTTTAAGCCAGAGAGTCTAGGGCATTTTGTTATGGCAGTCTTGAGCTAAAAGAGACACCATGCAAATATTTTATGAAATTTTTTAAAAAATAATTAGTTCTGGGAGAGTACTCAGTGATAGAGTAACTTGCCCTGCATGGTGAAGTCCTGGGATCAATCCCCAGCACAGGAACAACAACAACAAAAAAAAAGTAAAAATGAAGAGCGTCAGGCTTGGTGACACACACCTGTAATCCCAGCGGCTCAGGAGGTGGAGACAGAGGCAGGAGGATGGCAAGTTCAAAGCCAGCCTCAGCAAAAGCAAGTTGCTAAGCTACTCAGTGAGACCCTGTCTCTAAATAAAATACAAAATAGTGGTTTGCCCCTGAGCTCAATCCCTAGTACCCTTCTCTCCAAAAAAAGAAGAGTATTCCTAAAAACTTTAAATAGATTAATGACACTAACTATAAATCAGATTGGTAACATAAGCACATAAAATAAAGATTATTTTAAATTTAAATGTATTTAAAACAGAGCATTTTGAATATTAAATGGTAGGTGAATGTTCTGAGGACAAAAAGAACTGTAAAGAAGTCTTGAGCAGCTTTCAGTGATTTTCACTATTAGTAGCAATCTTGGTATTTTAATTTTGAAACACCTAACAGTGGATTTTGGTCTCTAAATACCACTTCCCAATAAAAGGAACCAGAGTTCCTTGGGAAATGGCTGATACCAGGTTTGGTGCAAGAAATGAACAAAATGATCCTGGGGCATCGTCCGTGTGTGTATCAGAAAAACAAGGAAGTTCTCAAAACTATTAGGATCATATCAAAAGGACTCAAAGGCAATTTGAAGGGGCTCTCATTAGCCAAAGATGGAACAATCTGAGTATATAAGGGAATTACTTAATTATTGCAATGGACTAAAGCATATCAGATACATCAAAATCCATGAGTTTGTTATAATACTTTAAAAAAATATTCTGTGGTCAGCTTGTAGGTTGCTGCTAGGAACCAATTTAGAAATTATTCTGAAAATTGATAAAGAGAAAGAGTCAAACATTGATCTTTGTGAAAGGATCAAACTGTACTGTCTATATAAACTATTTCAGATAGTCAGATAGTTGAAAGGGAAAGTTTTTTGTTTTTATTTTTCAATAGTAGGCTTTTTGCCAAAACAAAAAGCTCCAAATCTAATCAAGACATATGAGAGACAAAGGAACAAGTTAAAAGACATCACCAGGAAGCAGTCAGCCAAACATAGAAAATAGGAAAGTGTATTACAAAGCAAATTATTGGGTTTCTTTTTTTTTTTTTTTCTTTGAGACAGTATCTCACTAAGTTTTTTAGGGCCTAGCTAAATTGCTGAGTTGGGTTTTGAACTTGTGATCCTCCTGCCTTAGCATCCCAAGCTTCTGGGATTACAGACATATGCCAAAGCACCTGGCTAAATTATTGGGTTTCTTCAAACAAATAAATGGTATGGAACAAAAAGGGGAAGATTGATAGATTTGAGGCCAAATCAATCAAATACAGTGTGTGTACCTTATTTGTATCCTGGAGGAAAACAAAAAAAAACCAAACAATGACCTGCTAATATCTCAAGGATATTTTTAAGGCAAATGGAAAAATTTGAACATGGATTGGGTATTAGATAGTATTAATAAATTATGGTTAATGTCATTAGATACGATAAGGACAGGTAGCTATGTGGAGTGGGGAAGCCTTCTTACTAGAGACACATATTGAATGAAGGGTTCATCCATGAAATTTGGTTAGATCAGGGATTTAAAATACATCCCCCTGGGGCTGGGGTTGTGGCTCAGTGGAGAGCACTTGCCTATAGAGCGTGAGGCATGAAGTTCTCTATTGTCAGCACCACATAAAAAATAAAATAGAGGCATTGTGTCCACCTATAGCTATAAATTATATATATATATATATATATTTTTTTTTCACCCCCCATATTTTTTGGCTGGCTCTGTGGCAGGCCTGTAGTTCAGCTACTTGAGAGGTTGAGGCACAAGGATCAAGGATTCCTTGAGCCCAGGAGTTCAAGGCAAGCCTGGGCAACACACCAAGACCCCATCTCACGAAAGAGAAAGATAGATCGGGGTTCTTTTTACTATACGATTACAATTTTCCATTCAAACTTCATTTTCTTTGGTTTGTTTTAAAATTGAATGCCTCAGGATAGAACAGCGAAACTCCAGGAAGCTGGGGGTGGAAGCAAATCATGTGAAAGAGGGGCTCCTATCTTGCTCCAAGCACATGGACGACACACCCGGCTCCCCCAGGGCTCACCTGCCGCCGTGGACTCGGCAGGATTGAGGCTGAAAGGCGGCGGGCAGAGATGCCTGGTCATCTTCGAAGGAGATGTGGTCGCCCAGGAAGTCGGGGCCGGAGAAAAGCTGAATCTGGAAGAAAAGAGGGGTGGAGATGAAGGTAAAGGAGGGCAACTGAATGGGACAGAAGGAATGGCCGAGAGAGGGAGAGCTTGGAAATGAGAGAGGAGGGGATGGGTGCCCCGCCAGCCCCTGCGGTGCCACCTTCTTACCTTTGAGACAAAGTGCAGATCGTGCTCCCCAACCTGAAGGGAGGGACCAGAGTCAAGGGTCAAGAGAGGCGCTAACCTGCAGCCTCAGCTCCGAGGTTTCAACGCCGCCCGCCCGGCCACTGCYACCCAGCTCCGCGAGCCGCCGCTAGTCCCGCCCCTTCCCAGGGCCACGCCCCCAGGAGGCCGRCCCTCCAGCCACGCCCTCTCTGCCCGGCGCCTCCCGGAGCCGCGAGTCTCCGCGCTGGCCGCGGCCGGCACGCACCTGCAGGACCGGCTGCAGCGAGGCGAGGGCGCTGTTGCCCGCGCCCCAGTCGTCGCAGTTGCGGTACACGCCCTTCTCCAGCACGTACTGCTCCCCGGAGAAGCCCACCTGCTCATAGGCCACCCACCTGCAGGAAAGATGGGTCCGGGTCAGCAGAGAAGGAGCCGGTGGCTTTCCCAAGCCGCCCCGGGCCGCCCCGCCCCGCTCCCACAGCCAGGAGCACTCACACGCCGCTGAGCACGTGGATGGCCTGGGTGCGCGGGCCGTGTCGCACAAGCTCCACATCTGGCACTGCCGTGCTCACCTCCACGCCCGGCCCCACGAAGTCCACGGCCTCAAACAGCACCACGGCCGGGTCCCCGAAGTCCTAGGCCCCAGGGACAGTCAGGTCTCTCCTGCCCAGGGTAAGAAACCCCTGGGAGTGTCCGACCCCAGGGACCCAACTCACAAGGAAAATTAGGGGTGAGGGGGCTGTTGTGGCCTGGGAAAGAGCCRCAGGAGGCACAGAGACAAACCCTCAGGGAACACTCGGGGAGAACAGGGAGAGTGGGTGCAAATTCTTCTCTCAGATTGTCCCAGGGGAAGTCTGGCTGTGGCCAGAGGCAGAGGGTTAGTCCAATTGCACTTGCTTACCGTCCGGATGACGCGAAGGGAGGTCAGCCACTGGTCAAAACCTCCCCATTGCGACCAGTCAGCATAGGCGCCCTCTTCCAGCAGGTACTGGTGGCCCCGGAAGCCCTCCTTCTCGTAGCCCACCCAGCTGGAAGCAGGGGGAGGATGGACACACTGACTCAGTCACTGACAGCTCCCCAGTCCTAGGCAGCCCAGGWGGCTCCCCACCCTAAGGGCAAAGTTGAGTGATGAGGTAGAAGGAGGCATCCTCAGTCCTTACCAGCCTCCAAGAATTTGCAGGGACCCCACAGAGGCCAGGTGGGGACTCTGGCTGTCCTCTGGCTGCTGCAGGTTGTAGATGTCTCTGGTCACTTCCCAGCTCCGTCCCTGAAAACCTGGGGCTTCATACACCACAGCCTAGGTGGGGGGGAAGAGGTGGCAAACTGATGGGGTGTCATCTGGGCCCAAATACACCCAGCCAGCCCAGGAACTGCTGTGCCATGCACCAGAGGAGCAGGCTCTCCTTTCTTGTTGTCCAGCCCAAACTGTGACAACACCATCCCTACCCACCAAAGATCCTCTTTGACCCTGAAGCCCAGACCCTTACCTTGGGCTCTCCTGGCTTCTCCACACTTGGGCAGCCCTGCAGAGGAGATACTGATGAGACACCAGCCCACAGGTGGGGGAAGACAGATGGTGATGGGGACCTAGGAGATTCCTGAGACCCCTAAAAATGGCCAACCTATGTCCTCTCTCTCCCCACCCCATGGGTTGATCTTCTGTCTTCCCAGTCCTGTTCCAAGTAGGAGCTCCTGGGAATAGTCTCCAAGGAGTGCGGTTCCACATTTATTTCTCCCTCTCCTGTCCACAGATGCAGGATCATGCTACTTGGGAACAGGAGCAGAGTGGCCCATGGTGTGCCCTGCTCCTTACCAATTTTATGGGCTTCAGGGAACCCACGCTGGGATCTGATGTACCCCAGGCCTCCGAGGTGGGGTACTCTCCAGGCTCCAGGATGTAGGGGGTGTCTTCAAAGAATGGTTTGGGGTACAGCAACCACCTGGTAGAAGGCAGACAGGCAYTGCAACTCAGGCCCCAGGGACACAGATTGGTGGATAAGAAGGGAGATTTAGATGGAAGAAAGGGGGTTTGTGGGAGAGGCTTCCTCAGGAGGACACTCTAGTCCTCTATCCTCTTTTGAAGTGGCCATATCATTGGTCTCCCCTTCCTCTGGCCTTGCTCTGTTTAATTTCACACAGCAGCGGGCAGTTCTTTGTAATACACATACCTGCTTTAAAACCCCTAGTAGTTCTTATTACTCTCACAATGAAGCCCAGCTACACACAGATCCATGATCTGCCCCTCCTTCCTCCTGGCCCCATGGCTTCCCACTTGCTGTTTACATGGTCCAGATTGATCTTTTTGGTTTTGGGTGCTGGGGTTGGAACCCAGTGCCTCATACATGTTAAACATGCCGTCTACATTGAGCTGCATTCCCAGCCCCCATACTGAACTTTCTTACCACTGGGCTATTGCATGTGCTATATTCTCTGCCAGATATAATCTTTTCCCATTCACTCAATTAACAAATATTTAGAGACATCTACTGTGGACCAGACCCTATTTTGGGCATCAGGAATACAATACGGAACAAAACACAAATTCCTGTTCTCATAGAACTTAGATTAATGGCCCACTCTTCCCAGATGAGGTGTCTCCTCCTCCAGGAAGGCTTCTTTGATTGCCCCCCTGCCCCACCCACCTCTATCTTCAGCTGGATTGTGCTTTTTGTTTGTTTTTTTGGTTCTGTTGTTGTTGTGATACTGGGGATTGAACTGAATACAGGGGCACTATGTCACTACTGATCTACATCTCAGTCCCTTTTTAAAATTTTATTTGCCCAGGCTGGYCTTGAACTTCCCAAACTACTGCCTCAGCCTCTGCAGTCGCTGGGATTACAGGCGTGAGCCACCAAGCCCAGCTGGCTTGTGCTTTTCTGGGTTCCTGAAGTGCTGTATCCATCCCACATCCCAGAATCCTGGGCTCCTACTGTCTGTTTACTTGTCTTTGCCACCAGCACACTGAGCACTTTTGAGGGCAGGAACTATGTCCTGTCACCCCATATCCCCATCACGCAGCACGGTGAATGCTAAACGAATAGCCTAGACTCACAGTCCTGCAGAAACAGTAGCAGATGCCACCTGCAGGGGCGTCTCCAGGTCCTGAAGGTCCTCCAAGGCCTCTGTGAGCTTCACTTGCTCCCCGGCAAGACCCTCCTCAGAGAACAGGCAGATCTCGGGGAYGCAGTAGTCCTGCAGAGGAAGTGGGGACAATGTAAGGTCAACCAGCACCTGGAGACTGCCCTGCCCCTGCTCTGCTTCCTCCAGCTTGTCCAGCCAGGGCTCCAGGGGCTTCTAGGAAAACCTTTCTGGCTGTCTCTGGAAACCAGGGGTGACTGGAGTGTCCTCTCCAAGGTCAGCCAGCCAAGCTTGATACCACAATCCTTATTGGACCTTTGGGAGCTGAGACCAAGTTCCCAGGAGAACCTGCAAAGCCTCTTGCCCTTCCCTTGCCTCTGGAGGGCCTGCTGGTAGAGGGACGGGTAAGACAGCCACTTCCTGGGGTCCAGCTTTACATACAATTCCAGCATCTGTCCAGACTGGCTTTTTTTGCAGGGGCAGGGTGGTTACTGGTGATCAAACCCAGGGCCACATGCATGCTAGGCACATGCCGACCACTGAGCTACATCCTCAACCCCCCGGTGGGCATCTCCACCTTATCCCAGGCAGCAGCAGGTCTGRTGTGTTCTGGGTGTTTCTTCTCACCTACACACTCATCTGTCACATGGCTGTGGAGCATCTACCAAGTGCACAGTACTGGTGAAGGTCCTACCGGTCCCATTTAGTCCCCCAATGGGTGTTATTAATTGACACTCGGCAGAATTGAGCAAGCTGTTCCTGGTCATGGGGCTTGTGAGGAGCCAAGCCAAGAGCAGAGCAGGGTAATTTTTGTTCCATGTTGCAACCTAGCACCTCCCACATGCCTGGCACACAGTAGGTGCCCACTCAATGCTGAATAAATCAAATGATTCTAAGACCTGCTAACTTCAAAGCCTTGTTTTTTCCTCTGCTACTTCATTACCTCCCACATGAAGATGAATTTATTGTGAGAAGCTCACAATAAATTATSCACAAACAGGCTGGGGATGTGGCTCAGTGGTAGAGCACTTGGCTGGCATGTATGAGGCCCTGGGTTTGGTCCCCAGCATCACATAAAAAAAAAAAAAAACTAAATAAGCAAAATAAAGTTATTAAAAAAATTATCCACAAACATTTGTGCGTTGCTGGAGAGGTTTTGAAAATCACCAACCCTTCTCCAGGGCCGCTGCCCTAGATAAGGCTCACCTGCTGCTGCCATCTCTGTCAGGAAGAGCACAACAGTGCTGGCCCCAGTTACTCCTCCTCACCACAGTCACAACAAACAAAACCCCCAGAGGTGGTAGTGTGATGGGCCCTGCTTGGTCACCGCGCTTTCTTCTGGGTCTCTTTAGATGGTTTTGTTGTTGTTGTTTGTTTTTTAGCACCAGGGATTGAACCCAGGGGTGCTTAACCACTGAGCTACATCCCCAGCGCTATTTATTTTTTATTTTGAGACCGGGTTTCACTAAATTGCTTAGGGCCTCACTAAATTGCCGAGGCTGGCTTTGAACTTGCAATCCTCCTGCCTTAGCCTCCCRAGCTGCTGGGATTACAGGTRTGTGCCACCACACCSGGCCTGTTTTGCACTTTACAAATATGAAATTATCATRCTGACTTTTCAAACCACACATCCCTCCTTCAAAAACAAGAGGTGTCCCTGGGCTGGAAATCCCAGCCCTTCCTGGTCTCCACTGTTCTCCTGGTAGCCAGGGATTATTCCCTGGTGATATGGCTTTCCCRCTTGAAACCAGCCCTCACAGTCTAGTTGATTGTGCATCCTCAGGGCAGAGGGCAGGCCTCCCCCATCTGCCCATCACCTGGCACAGGGCYGGGCACACAGTGGACATTAGTGAGCATCTGTGAACAGGGAATGGGCAAATGTCCGTGGCACCTGCTCTGGGTGATGGGCAACCCTGGCCTMTCTCTGCTGCTCTGACRCCTCCTGCTCYAGCAGATGTCCCCGAGTTGCTCTCYAGGTTGGGCCTMGTCCTCTTGCCTGGCCCTGGCCTGTCACCACACTGCATAGTCCCAGGTCCCTTTCTTCCCCAGTGCCTCCAARGTCAGGAATCTACAGGTCAGTCCGTAATAAGCCTCCTTCTGCCCCCTGCCCCATATGATCTCTCCCACTCTAGGCACTTGATGCTCTCTCCCCCTTCCCAGGGTCCAGGGAAGATGAGGCAACATCTGTCCCCAACCCCAGCCCACTTACACAGACAGCCCTCCTCAGGGAGCCGATGCCCTGGGTATTCCACGCTGGCCCAGGGACTCTGAGGTCCATGTCTCCTTCAGGCAGGACCAGCTTCCGGCCCTGAAACTCAGGCCGTTCATACAGCACCCAGCTGTGGGCACAGAGACCCCAGGGTCACAGGYGGGGAGGAGGCTGTGCCCACAGCTGATGGGGTTTCCACCAGGATTTCTGCCCTCTGCACCCCCAGGTGCACAGCCAGGCTCCCCGCTGGATGCTCCCCACTTACCAGCCTCGTACCACCCTCACAGAGGCAGCGGCCCAAGCTGAGGCATCGGCAGTGTCGTCCCAGACCTCCCTGCTGGTGCCCTGRCAGCCAGGTTCTGAGAAGACGATCACCTGAGAAGGACAGCAGAGGTCCTCAGGCCCTGTCCCCAGGCGGGRTCTCCTGCCGCCCACCCGCTGGCCTCACATCCTACCTTTCCAGGCCTGGTGTTCAGCTTGCCCTGGGTCTTCAGTGCTGGGCTCTGGAACAGAGTGCACGATGAGAAGTCCTACGAGGTCACCTGTGTCCCCACAGCTTGCCATTCCAAGGTCCTCCCTATTATCCTCTACCCTCAACGAAATGGCCCACAGAGGATGCCACCYTTGTTTCCAATACCAGGGCTTCATCTCTCTGCCCCAGAGCTGGTGCCTGTCACCTCCCTCCCTGGGCTTATAGGATATGAAAGCCACCAAGCCCTTTGGCATCCACCATGCAAACCTGCTGTGCAGATACAGAGTGTGAGGCCCAGAGAAATGGGCTTGCTGAACTTCACCTTAGACCAAGCCTCCCGCCTCCAGGGACTCGGACCCCCAGAACCATTCTCCTCCCAAACTTTGACCCCAAAGAGRCCAGGCACCTCCCTTGCTCCCAAGACCTCACTCACCCACCCCTCCRGGGGCTCGGCACAGGCGGGCTTTTCTGGCGGGGGCCTTCTGCCACTGAGCAGGGGCAACTGACCTGGCACCTTCCTGAGCCCTGGTGCCCCGTGGGGCGGCAGAGCAGACAGCTTTTTGCCCAGTGGTTCCAGGGCAGAGGCCTCCTTGGTGGCAGGCAACAGACTGCCAAAGAGAAGGCTGCCCCCCAGTCGGGATGTAAGCCGGCTGCTGGCCTGCACGTCCGCCCCCGGCTCCGGGTGGAGACTCCTGGCGCCTGATACGTGCTTCTTCAGCATCTCTAGAGGAGAGCAGGAGACCGGGGTGGGCCTGGCAGGAGGTGGGTCCCCAGAGGGGCTGGGCCCCACTTTTTCCTGTCTGCGCTGGAGCTTCTCGTCGTCGCTCAGGTAGGGGTTCTCGGGTTCTTCTTCCTCCTCCTCTTCCAGGGGAGGCACCTCCTGGGGGCTGGGCTCCTGCACACAAGGCCCAGGCTGGTCCTCCTCGATGGAGGGCAGTGTGGCATACATGGCCAGGTAGGAGGAGCGGGGGGCTCGGGGGAGCCGGTGAGTGCGGAGGATCTCAGGGGGCTCCATGCTCCGCAGTGTGTCCAGGAAAATCTCCAGGTCAGCGGCCAGGGCCACCTCGTCCTCCTCCCTCAGTGGTTCTGGGGGTGTTTTGCCTTCGGTGGAGTCGGGGACAAGCTGGGGCTCCATGCTGACCTCTGTTCCCGTCGGTAATGGGACAGGAGTGCCTTCTGAGCTGGGGGACACCTTGTCCACTGAGGAGGATGGGGCAAGGGGGACAGTGGGGCTCTGGATAACCTCTTTTGGGGTGGGAGACGAGGTGGGGCTCTTTTTGGATCCCTGGACAGCCTTATCCTGTTTGGGGAGCAGAGGAGCAGGAACAATTGGGCCCCGAATGGTCTTGTCATGGGTAAGGGAAGGGGAAGGGCTGCCTTCAGCACCCTGAACAGYCCCCTTTTGGGTGCTCGAGGCTCCTTCTGGGCCCTGGACAATTTTGGTTGGCTTGGGAGAGGAGGCAGAGGGAGCACCGTGGCCYGGAACAGCCTCTTTCTGGGTAGGGGCGACAGGCACATCTTCGGAGTCCTGAGCAGAAAGACCTCCCAGGCTGGGGACAGCCTTCCTCTGCTCAGAAGACAGAGCCGGAGGTTGTCCGGGCACTGTCACAAACTCGCTCCCCACCGTGGGCGGGGTGGGGGCAGCAGGGCGATCCGTGAGTCCTTCCCTCTGACCAGCAGGTAGGACCTGGGGACTGGGCTGAGCCYCAGGGTGAGTGGGCCCCTCGGGCTGCTCTGGGGGGTGGGCCAGGCCCGGGKAGGGGAAATGTCTCTGGAGTCTGGGAGAAGAGGGCACTGCTGCTTGGCTCTGAGAAGTCTGGAGAGGGAGTGGACTGGGGGTRGAGGCTCCCTGCACCCGGGGGAGCTCACAGGCCCTGGCATCGAGGGTTCTGCCATCGTCTTGGCCTGGGCGGGCTTCAGGGACATGCCGGTTCTGAGGCAGATGGGCACCCTCCGGAATGGCTGCAGGGGCCGAGCTATCCTTGAGCTCAGCTGTTCTAGTCTCAGGCAGGTGCCCCAGGACTGTCCCCTCGGTACTGCCCTTTGGCCTGGGACCTGTGGGCCGGGGGAGGCGGCTGGCGGGTGGGCTGCGCTCTGCAGGCACCAGGCTGCTCAGCAGCTCCAGGGCCTGGCTGCGGCTGGGCGAGGCCTCGGCGCGGGGGCTCACCACCTGGACACGGGCCACATGGCGGCCTCTGGGAAGGACCTCGCCTGACAGCGATGGCCCCACCGTCACAGAGCTGCTCACCCGGCGGTCCACGTGCCCTCCCACTACCGTGGTGGTCCGCACAGTGCGCGTGACTCTCCACTCCTCGTGGCTCCTGGAGTTCCTGCTGCTGACACCCACACCGGGGTGGGGGCTTGGCTCTCGGGGCCCAGGCAAGGGCACCAAGAGCTCAGTCCTGGCCATGGCTCCCATGCCTGGTGGCTCGGTCCTGGGAGCCTGGGCACTGCCATCACCCTGGTCCACGGCCTCCTTCAGCCTCCGCACTGGCCTTTTCTCCTTGGGGGGTGGTGTGTACTTCTTGGAAAAGATGGGCCCGTGGCTCTGGAATTTCCCGGAGCCGGCCTCAGCCCGAGGGCCCTGGGAACTCACTGTCTCTTCCCGCGTCGCAAAGCCGTTGACGTCCTCTCTGCAGTGATTGTGCGCCAGCATCTCCTGGGGGGCTTCTGTCCGGGGCCCTGTCACCAGGGACACCTTGTGAAAACGGTGTCTGGTCTCTTCCTGGGCAGGGGGCTGCTGCCGCCATGTCAATGTGGCGCTTATGACTCGGGCCTCAGCCCGGGTTGAGGGCCCAGCTGCCTCCTCCATGTTGGGCCCCAGCGACCTGTCCAGACGTGTCCTTGTGTCACAGTGGGCCAGCTCCCTGCAGGTGATACCAGGAAGAAGAGAGATGAGCATCAGAGGGGACGAGGGGTGGCTCTCGAAAGTTCAGAATAGCCACCCCTGCTATGGTCAGGCTGGGCAACCTCAGGAGAGTCCCTGGACTTTTGGGTCTTTGTTTCCTTATCTGTAAAGTGGACAAGACATTCCTAGCTCTGATTTGCTTCATCAGAGCCCCTATCCACTCCTCGTCCCCCTTTCAAGTGATTCTGTCAAGGTCCTTCAAAGGGCAAGCTGAGACCTGCCCTGGAAGGAGAGAGAAGGGAAGGTGGAGAGGAAGATGGGTTGGCCTGCTGGCCTGTGGGTGTGGCTGGGTCTCTGCCCAAGGAGCCCTGGGTCTGGACCTACGGCAGCCACAAACGAGGAAACCAGAAAGCCAGAAGTTCTGACCCTGTTCCTGCCATGCTCCTTAAAAGGAGAATGAAGGAAAAATGGGCTCTGGCCTCCAGCAGAGGTGCCCCTCCTGGGCCCTGCTGCTTACTGACCGGATGACCTGGCGCAGCCCCCTTCTCCCTTTCGGGCATCATGATCATCAAACTGAAAACAGCTGTTCAAAGAGTGTGTGCTTCAGGCCTTGCCAGGATCTTAGCAGGAGAGAGAGAATGAAAACGTGCCGTATAAACTAAACCTTGACTCACAAATTTCCCAATGCCACTTGGAGATTTGTGACCAAACCTTGGCAGATGTGCAGTGTACATGTGCCCGCAGGAGATGCGGTGATCATGGTCAGACTAGGGGCATTTTGCCTGGGTCTCTGGGTCTCATGGAGCCCCTGTGCACAGTGCTTTATAAAGTACTTTTCCCTCAGTTCTCTCCTGTGAAACTGATCCTCTCGTTGGGGTCAGAGGAGAAAAACAGCCAGCCAGGAGGGTGCAGCACCAAGTTGCCAGGTTGGGGTTTGAGTCACACCTTCTGCTCCCATGAGCCTCTTTAGCACAGCACCTCTTCCCTGGGGTCCTTAGGGATGGGACCTGACCCCTATTTCCTTTATGACGCTCCCATGCTCTCTGTGGGTCTTCATAACCTCCCAGAGAACTCTCTGGTGAATTTCTCTGCTTTAACAGTAACAGCAGCAGAAGTGGCCACTTGTTGAGGGCTTGCTCTCTGGCGAACACGCTTCTGTTTTCATTAACTGTCCTATTGAACCCTCAGAAGAATCCTATGCATTTGAAACCCCATAATGAGTATGTTGTTGCTAAATTATAAACAAACATTCCAATTTTGCAGATGAGATTTTAAAAAGCTCAAAGGAACTTGTCTAGAGAGACACAGTAGCAGAGTCAAGACTTCAACCCTAACCCTAAGTGCTTAATCACTGTTCCAAACTCCCTAATTTATCTGGTAAACTGACTCTCTGCTTTGAGGGTTGACTTTCTAAAGGGAGCCACCTCAGACCTAGAGGGGCCATCCACTTCTACCTGCTGGCCTCTAGGCTGCACTGACCATAGCCATCCTATTCTCAAATCCTAGGGACCCTAGAGAAGGTGGCCGGCCTGTCCACCCCACTCAGAGCTAGCCCGTCTTTAGGTCTGTGCTGCCTCTCCATGGGCAGCTCCCAGAGGCCCCACGATGGGCCAAGAATGGACCCCCTGTCCCAATTCCCCCCTCTCCATCCCCTCCCTCCTGAGAAGCTGGTGGAACCCAGAACTTTGACCCTGCCCTGTGGCCCTGGCAGTGACTCAGGTTTTATGAGGGGCAGAGATGAAAGGGGCTGAGGCCCAGGGAAGCCTGACTTGGCTCCAGGACCACTGGTGGCTCTGTCACCATCTAGGGCAGGGCCTGGGGGCCTGGACAGCCTCATGGATGGGGAAGGGGGAAGCTTAAATGCATTCCCAGTCCTCTCCCCGGGCCAGGGCTTCCTGAGAACAGGACACACCCAGACACCCAAAGTCCTGGCTCTCAGCACTCCACTGAGGCCCTCACCCCTCCCTGTCCTGATTATGGAGTGCCTTTCTTCTCCTGGCACCCCTGTCCCCAGGACTCCCAGACATGGAGCTTCCCCTCCTTCACTGGGCCCTCCCAGAGTCCCTGGCCTCTCCATTTCTGAATAACCACCACCACCACCTCCTGCCGTTCCCCGAGCCTCCCTGTTCCCGATGGGGGACAGTGAGCCTGGCCAGCGCTGCTTCTAACGCGAGCTTTCCTTGCTCATCACTCACGCGGTGCTAATGGTATCAGGCGATGAGYGAGGCCCTGGCTAGGCTCCCCCGAAGCCAGCTTTCACACACACGTGGTACCCAGGAGCCCAGGGGCAAAGAATCCAACATTCAGAAGGTCCCACAGACTTCAGCAAAGCCACAGGAGTCAGGCTCAAAGGAAGCTGCTGGTAATCAGCTCAGGGACTGTCCATGACCTCCTGGCAATCAGAATTCCATGCCCTCTGCAGCCCAGCCCAACCCCAGGCCAACACCCCGACCGTCACTCATTCCACAAGCGTGTGTTCACTGGCTTCTCCTTGCATACTTCTAGGGAYACAGAGGTCACCACTTGACAGATCACCTGTCCTATCCCTGGACCATCATGACTGCAGGAAGGTTTTTCACACTCTTCTGGAATCTTCCTGCCTATAGTTCCCCGCTTTTGTTCTGGCTCTGGAGACACACCCCACCAACCCAGCTGCTTCTCCTGGGCAAGCAAAGCACAAGTGCCCATTTCCAGAGCCTTCTCTTCTCCAGGGCCCCAGACCAGAAGTGGATTTGTTGGCAGGGTGACCCGTAACCTCCAAATAAGGCTGCAGGGTTGGGAAGGGAGAGGCCAAGGGGAGGGGGGGAAGTAGGGGGAGTGTGGGAAAAGCCTGGTCTAACCCAACAAGTCCTGGGTTCTCCCCGCTTACCTGTGAGTCACCCCCAAACTAGGCCAAACCAGTCCACAGGCCCACATGCTGGCAAACACATGCCGCGTCATACGGAGTCACAGAGACCCACAGAGTCACTCAGCACAAAAATATACACAGACACCTCCCGAGATAAACACAGCCAGACACCCCCCAACCACACGCACAGCCACTCACGGAGAAATAGTCAGCAACACCCCACAGATGCACAAGTTACACAGTCACATGAGATCGTAGTGCCCATGTGTGTATACACTCCCAAAACACATGTGCAGCTCACAGCCTCCAGCCCTCCTGCCCTTGCAGTTCACCAGCACCCAAACATGGGCACACACGCACCCAGACACACCTCACACATTCCCCCTGCATCCCCGGGCACGCCCTCACATCTGCCAATCCTGGAATAGAGCACCCTCCACAGAAAGTGGACTTAGAGGGACGAAGTCCCTGGAGGTCACCTTCCAAAGTGGGCCTTGGCTTCCCACCCCAGCCTGAGTCCAAAGAACTGGGGAGGGGCAGAGAGAGCCTGGCACCCCAGCTCACTCCCTGGCTCTTTCCCTCCTCCTCCCCAAGGCCAGCTCCTGCCACCCTCCTTCCCTGTCTGCAGGACCCTCCCTGCAAGGGGCACCCAGGCAATTCCTCAGGTCACTCTGGGCCCCCCACCCCATCGTCTCCTTCTAGGCTTAGGACCAAGTGCACTGGCCCCTGCCCAGAGGATTGGGCATCCCTGGCTCAGCCTCTGCAGGCCCAATGCTGCCAAAGTCACCCCAGAGGGTGGCAGAAAACCCTAGGTTCCAGCAGCATCTGTGCTCCATCCTCCGCTCGAGGCCCATTCATTTGGTACCCTGAGTGTGACCTGCCCCTGCTCTCCGCTCCCCACTCCAATTCTGCCTTCCTCTCCTTCCCTTGTCCCACAGGCTAC